CTCCATCCATCCATCCATCCATCCAAGATAATTTTCTAATAAAACTTTCTTCAACTATATAGCTTTTAAATATATTTTTGTGCATTTAAAAAGTGATTAACTTATTCGTTTATTAATTTCAGACCAAATAGTACAGTACAGTGGTGATCCACTCAAAGACTTTGCCGGAATCAGATTCCTTGATCGGTTCGTTTTCAAAAATCCAAAGAAACGAGAAACACAACAGTACGGAGAGGTGAAGAAAGTCAAAGGATCACATCCCAAGTTTGCTATAAGAAAGAATTACTCCGCTAAAGGTATGTTTCAAATTTGATTATATTAATAAAAAAAAACATACAGACAAATTGAGAACCTGAAGTCGGTTAAAAATATTAAGAAAAAGTAATATTCAATCCAAATTAAAATTTTGTACTTACTTTCAAGGAAATTTAATAATAAAACTAGCTGTCGACCGCGACTCTGTCCGCGCTGAGTTAAAAAAAGTTAATAAGTAGCCTATGAATTCTTCCAGACTATATTCTGTATGTATGCCAAATATCATCAAGATCCATTCAGCCGTTCTGGAGAAACTTTCAAACATCCATCCATACAATTGCATTTATAATATTAGTAAGATTGTATAAATATCTTGTACAATGTTTATTTATTTAAAATATTTATATTTTAGATTGAAATAATGTATATATTAGATTCCCGTAAGATTTTTTTCACCCTTAACTTAGGGTAAGCTCCGAGCCCCTCGGTGGGGACGAATAGTGAGCTGATGATGATGATGAGGATTTTTTAATTTTTTTATTTAAAATACAAACTTTTTTTTTGTTTCCAGGTCTGAAAGCAATTCCAGTAAATTCTTCAACATATTTAAATGAAGATGCAAAGAAAATACCTGTCGATGAGAAATTCTTATATGAGTAAGTTTTTTTAATCATTAAAAAATATAGTAGTTTTATACTTACTTAAAAGGTATTTTAAAGTGGGCTTCTATTGTTGAAATAAATAATTTAAAAAACATAAGAGTTAACCCTTAATTCGACGAAATTTTTTGTAGCAAAAAAAAACTGTTTTTTTTTACTAAAGTCATACTTACGTACTTCTTTAAACTAGTTCAGTAGATGTTTTTTTAAAATTAGTTGTTCTTCACACTGGACACCATCGAATTAATGGTTAAGATTATAAAGAGGAAAGATTTGTTTATTTGCATTAAATAGACTCTGAAACTACCAAACCAATTTCAAATATTCACTATTGGGAAGCTACACTATCCCCGGGTGACATATACTATATTGATAACTAGTTTTTTTTTAAATTCCCTGCTAACAAAGTCGCAGGCAACTATTAGTAGTATATAATTTACCAAACGAGCAAGCTTCCACTTGAATTCGCCGAAATAGCGAAATAAACTTGGCGACAGACATCTGTAGAGGTGCCATGCTTCTAATCGGCAGAGTAGGGGACTTATAGAAAAGGGATATTTCCCCTTCCTATGCATCCACTGCTTAATCTATGCCTATCTTCTGTGTAGTCATTCTTGTTTTTAGGGTTTCGTACCTTGAAAGAAAAAAACGGTACACTTATAGGATCACATTGTGTGTCAAGACACTTTTTTGATTTTATTTTAGAGTGTTTCTTTTATAATTCCAGTTTCCTGCAAAAACGTCGTGAAGCGAAGACATCAGATGACGAGGACAGTGACACAGATTCCGTCACAAGTGAAGATTTTAACAAGTATTTGGATTCTGTTACAGGGAGTAGAAGACAGGGTAAATACATTTTTTTTAATGTAAAAATCTTAAAAAATGAATAGTCGAGGAATAATCAAAGATTAAATAAGTAGCTTTCACTACAATTTTATTTACATTCTCTTTAAGGAAAACATTTTGACAAAAAGATTCAAACTTAAAAATATAAAAGGTTCGAATATTTGAATACAAGAAGTTCACCTAATTTTCTACTGAACCTCATTTCTTAACCGACATTGGGTAAACCAAATAAACCACTATATTACCTGTTTAAATATGTTGTACTTTTGCCCGCGACTTTGTCTGACTTTTGCTTAGTTATTGAATAAATATGTAATATAAACATATGCCACGGGAACTGTACATATTTCCAGGATCATAGGTAGCCTGTTCTAAAACATAGTCTGGAAGAACAAATAGCTGATGTTAGCATCTGTACCAAATTTCATCAAGATCTGTTCAGCCACTCCGGAGATACCTTTTGACTAACATCCATCCATCTTTCAGCCAGATCTATGCAGCTGTTCTGGAAGTTAACAAACATCCATACATTTCCAATTATTTATTAAAATTAATATATTTTTTAGATTCTGATGATGAATTAGATTACTTAGCGGAGATGGAATCTTCTAAACAGAAACAAGGCAGTAAGAAGAAAGACGACAGTGATGACCAGCTGGATGATGATGATGACGATGATGGAGGAGGCGATTTCGATGATGACGTAGATGATGGTAAGTTTAGTCTTAACTTAATTACCGTGGGTTTCTGAGATTTATGAAAAACCGTTGCAAATGTTAGCAGAATATTATGCTAAGATTTCATCAAAATCTTTCAATTGATTTAGAAATGCATGAAAAGTTAAATATACAGAAAATTTAATGTCATATTTATTTATATTAAATTAACAACCTAAAAAAATAAGTTTCAAGCTTCTATATGTAAAATAACGATATTTCCATACTAATTTCCAACCCCTTATCCAGCCCTTTTTCACGTTATAAAGTAGCCTATGTCCTGTCCCAGGCTGTAGATCTGTGTATCAAATTTCATTTAAATCGGTTCAGTAGTTTTTGTGTGGAAGGACAGACAGACAGAGTTGCTTTCGCATTTATAATATTAATAAGGTTGTGGCAAATGATAAAGCGTTTGATTTCGCTGAAGTAGCGAAGTGATTTCTCAGATGAGTGACTTACCTTAGTTCTTAGTGTTTTCAATATAAAAATAAATGGGTATTTGTAATTGCCTATACAGTTTTCATCGCACGTATTAATATAATGATTAATTATATTTGTTTCAGATGATGGGGAACTTAATATATCTGGTGATGAAGATGAACCAGATTTATCAGCAGATGAAGATGGTGAGATACTTGAAGTTTTTTTTGAACGGACAGACTCTGAAAGACACAATGTTTTATGAAACTTACTACAGTTCTTAATCCCTTTTATATATAGCTTTTGCAACTCAGTATGGAATAAAATAACTAACCTATGTAGTCTTCCAGACTATGTTCTACATGTGTACCAAATTTTATTAAGATCCATTGAGCCGTTCCGGAGGCACCAAGATGTCTTAAGAAAGTTCTACTAAACATCTATCCATCCATCTAAACTTTGATATTTATAATATTAGTAAGATTTAATTAATCCCTTAGTTTATATTTACCGTACTATAGGTATGAAACAAGTTCTGTAGTTTTCCTTAATTTACTATGTACGTATATTTTTTCAGAACTTCGTTTGGAGGGCAGTGATGACGATTTTATTGATGAGCCCGAAAATAAATCTGGCAAGGGTAAATCTAAGATGAAACTTAAAGGTATAAATATGTAATTTATTAAGAAAACTAAATTATTGTAATTATGGGTTTCCGCTCAAGAGTTTGTATAAAAAGTCTTAACATTTTTAAGATTAATTAGATTGAATATTAAATTATTTTAAACTATTAAAGGGCTAATTTACTTTAACTATATAAAATATCTGCTGTAAATAGTTGTCGCCCGCGACTCTGTCCGCGCGGTATTAAAAAAAAACATAATTAGTAGCCTATGTGTTCTTACAGTCTGTTCTACATGTATGCCAAATTTCAGCGAGGTCCATATGCCCTTTTTCGAGATATATTCAAACATAAATCCATCCATCCATCCAAACTTTTGCATTTATAATATTAGTAAGATGACTTGTGTACTTAATAACTTAAATAATTACAGGTAAAGATGATTTAGGATCGTTATTCGCGTCAGCAGAAGAATTCTCGACTCTTCTAGAAGAAACAGCGACCAGTAAAGGACAAGGTTCTAGTCAAGCTGTATCCAACACTGATAATGCTAGTATTAAACAATTAGCCTGGGAACAAAAACGGGATAATTGGATAAAAGGATACAATAGAAAAATACTCGGGAACAAAAAACAAGGAAAAAAGAAATTCAACAAACAAAACGGTAGAGATTTCAAGATGGCGGATAAAAAGGGCGCGAAACGAAAAGGCGGGAACGATGGCGGCGCTGGCGGGAAAAGAAAGAAGAAATAATTACTTGTAATGTAATCATGTTATGAATAAAATAAAATTACAATGATTTAATTAATTTCCTTTAGATATTTTCTACTATTATGTGTGTACAGTACTAAAAATCCCTTTATCATAGATATAAAATTGTTTTGGTATTTTTTTATTACACTTTAGACGTAACTTACATAATTAACGTAGTCTTTATTGATTTAGTTACATTTATTCTGTTTTCAGAATGAAATATTTTTTCTAAAAAAAAATGCGGCAGTTTTCGTTTAAAAATTTCTGTATTACTCAATTCTAGAGAGCTTAGTGTTAAAAAATAAAAATATTTAATAATATCTGTACATCTTACCCAATATAGCTGTAATTTAAGTTGGAATCGCGGACAAGCTCTGGCTTATTCAACATAAGGTATATTATAATTCCTCTTCAAATTCCTACTGAACCTTATAAATTTATCCTGTCAATAAAAATTATAGTTATGTAGATTGGTCCATAATGTTACTAGGTCGTAAGAACGAATCATTTATAGAGAAGTATGTCGTAAATTCTCTTTTGTTACTTATTTCAGTTCTTTTGCTATAAAAGTTCTATATATGTTAAATATCCTATCAGTTTCTAACCTATACGACGTATTTCAAGGGCAAACGCAATAATGTGACCTTGACATATTTGCCTCACAAAAGATGGCGCTAGTCGCTAATGAAGTTTGTGCAAAACTAAAATAGATAGAAACGCGAGCTCTCCGTGTTTCGATTTTAAAGAATCGCAGTAAAATATAATTAAAATCCCCGATAACAAGTACAAGTTTACGGTGACCTTCCGTGATAATAAGTGTCATAAATTACTACGCCAGTCCCGCCTTGAGAGAGAAAAACAACACAATTCCTTTTTTATTAGAAAGGGAGTTAAAATAATTGAAACATTTTTTATCAATCGGTCCAAACTAATAAGAAATATGTAAAAGTATTTTTCCTCGCTCTATCTGCCCAGCGGGCACAAAATCATCGGAACTGAGAACTGTTTGTTGACATTAGTACGTCATACGGCCGTGTTGTAGACCGCTCTACTGAGTCGCATCTCGCGCTTTTAAAATAAATTACCTGCATTTACACATAAGTTCCACGTTACATCTGTACAGTGAAAGCGTTAAAGTGTATCATTGACATTGTTAGATTGAGCGTATTACGAATAGCGAAGTTATTGTGAATGAACAAAAAGAGCGGGGAAAATCTGTGCAAATGTCGCTTGTTCGGCTATTTTTAGCTATACACACGGCGCGATAACCATGTTTTAAACATTTTTGTGTGTTAACATTAGAATACTATGCAATTATCGAATGTAAATGGAAAATAATTTTGAAATAATCAAGTTTTAATCGCTGAATTGACTTATTAGAAAAGCGAAGGCGCCTAAACACGTTTGACAGTTCTAACCACACACAGAGACAGCCGGCGTACGGCGCATGTGTGCGTAAACACGGCGAAGTGATGTGAAATTGTTGCGCTTATCGATTAGTAAGATAATTTCAAGGACATTTTTATACAAGTCTTGCATTTTTATATACAAATATGAATGTCATAAGTCAAATATGATATATTAACATTAACTATATTTCTTTAATCATGGAGTCGCTTAAAGAGGAAGTAAAAAGTTTTGACACTGAGACAAGTAGTGGGTTAGCAACAGGTTGTGATGCAGGACTTTCCGAAAATTTAAAGGGACCTGATGCGTTCTTGACAAATATTGACAATGTCTCTATAATTGGAGAAAACGTTGTTGTTGGAGGTAGAGATTTATCTCTAGAACCCAATAATATTGGCCCAAGTGAATTAGGGGACACTTTTCCGGACATGGAAACACCAAACATTCTAGAATCGCCAATGCTAGAATATGAACACGTACAAATTATAGACGTAGAGGACAATAATATTACAGACGCACAAAATTCAGAAAGTTCAAGGGTGGAAAAAGAAGAATCTTTTGACGCACAAAAACCGGAAACTTTAGATGTAAAGATGCCAGAAATTTTAAACGTACAAAAACCAGAATCTTTGGAAGTACAAACGGAAACTTTAAAAGCGAACAAATTAAATGCTCTAGACATAAAAATTCCACAATCACCACAAAAGTCAGGACCAAAATCACCACAAATATCAGACACGCCAAAACTAACTGAAGATCCAGAAAAATCTAAGCGACATAAACTTTTAAAACTAACAATGACAAAGAATAAAGACGATGTTTTCGTGAGACCATCGCCAATAGCAGAGATTATGTCTCCCGCAAGAATGCTACAATTTGAAATTGACGTAACTACAAGCTCAACACCTACTATGAAACGTGCTGCTATTGATTTTAATTTTTTCAACGAAAATAATTTTGAGGAATACTTTACTGACGTACCTAAAAATGCCGATGAAAAGGTGAAAACTGAAGAAGGACCGTTCATAGAGACACCGGTTATTGTAAAAACCGATACTGTGCGGCACGAAATTGGCTATGGTAAGTTTAACGATAAAGTTTTACCGTTTCATTTAAATTTCCTTTTTTTATGTAACAGATGACCACAATATCAGGTAAAATTAAGTCTTGTGTTTTCATCTTTCTATATTTATACCACTAACTTATTGGAAAGCGGAAATTTTCCGTGAGACTGCAGATTTAGGTAAATTAACTGTTACCTTCTAAGACATGAGATTTTTTTGTTTATGGATATTAATTTAGAGCTGTTAGTTTTTTTACCTGAGAACCATAAAAACGGAAGAAGAAATGTATGATAAAAACTAAAATTACCTGCGGCTTAATGAATGCACAAATTGCTCCGTAATATAATGTAGAAATATACATATTTAATTTCCAGTCGCCACTTCGCTAAGTTTTGAACCCTATTTTATCGACATAACTTTTTTTATATATGCACTGATTTACTCTACGATTTTACGAATTAAAATATACTTATATAAGTGTTGAATTAGTAAAATTAGTTAGTGCTCTAACCGTGCTTTTCAAATATCACTTGTATGAGAAAATTTTGTCATCTCTGTCTTTTACAAAGAGAATAATAAAGATGGAAATATTGTAGAGATTTTACATCAATGGAAAATCACTGTAATACTTTTTATGCAAACGAACCGATAACGAAACAAAATTTGCAAAACTCTACTGACACCGCGAACTAATCTAACAAATGGTAAGTACTACATATTGATTTTTACGTTCACTGCGGTATTCGTGACTTGAAACTCGACTCGACTCGAATTTTCTTCGAAATTATTTGCTCCAGATACAAAATAACTTATTAAAACACTTTGAAACCCAATTCAGTTACATCGATAATATGATTAGATATTTGTTCCAAGTAAATCATTAAACAAAGAAAGCTTAAGTTTTTTTCCTCTACAGGTCTCAAATGTCTAGAACACTTTAGAAGGAAGAAGGAAACCGCGCAAGCGATTTTACTCTTTTGTGACATTTATTTCGATTTTTAAAAGGTGGTAGTTCTAATTCGGCTGTATGTTGGTTATTTCTTAACTTCCTGATAGATTAATTTCGATAAACATGTATGGAAATATTTTAACAACTCAATAACTGACGAAATCTTTGCCCTTTTCCCTAGGGAGGGTCTGTTTGAATTCACACCCTTCTAAAATGCATATCCTCTTCTACACAATCTAAGCTTATTTGAATACTACTATCAACCGTGACAATTATCCATAACCATGTTATTAATTGCAATTATAAAATTAAAGAATTCTTTCTTTGATGGTAAATTGATCAAGAATCGAGTTATGTTTTCAAAACATCAGACGGTTAAGACGTGATAATTTTTGCTTTTCTGTTGTAAGAGCGAAGGTCGATCTTACTTCCGTGATTTCAGTAACCTTCCGTATCAGTACTATAAGGAGTTGCCATTTAAGAGTATTTTGAAGTAATGTTGGGAGTATTTTTATTGCCATTGCTTGCTATCCTTCACCTAAAATTAATCTTAGCATCAGCAAGCTTTGCTATGGGATTTCACTACTGAAATACCTATGCAAAACATATCTTTATAATTAAAAGTTTTGCCGTCGGCATGATTAGTAATCTTACTTATACGTACTATCTTACTAAAAATTATAAAGGCGAATGTTTGGATGGTTGGATGGATAGTAGTATAATACAATATTCTGAAACAGATAGGCTACTTATTAAGTTTATTTTGAATTCCGCGCGGACAGAGTCGCGGGCGACAGCTAGTACATACCTAATTTTAGCTAGTCTATTGTTTTGTAATTTAAATGGTTATGACTTAATTTGAAAGAGGTTTAGTTACGATGTTTTCATGTTTTAAACTGGTTCTACTAATGATAGTTACAAAAGCATGATAAATATTGATTATTTCTCGTTCCCACTGGCGCGACACTTTTAGACAAAAATATGCCATCCTTCTCATTTTCCTTGAAACAATTGAGATACCTATATGTTACAGTATGGGTTTTCGGCAATGGAAACTCAAGATCTGACTTTACCTCTAATTAAAAATATTAACTGGCTTGGTTTTATCTTCTGTTTCAATAAAATTGTTTTGTTATTTACGATTTATGGTGAAATCTAAACTATGTAATACTAATACAAAATAATATCAATTTCAAACATTTTATTTTTCAATTTCGAACAAATCATTAAAAGACAATTTTTATTCCAATTTAAAGATCAGTAACATCACTAATTATAACATTGAAAAAGTGTTAAAACTGTTGTTATGCCATTACATTTGCTATCTTCTTCTACTTGATAGATAAGCAATACTTTTGTCTCTCTTTGTTTACGTCCATGAAATGGTTACTCCATAGTACAAGCGCAAATACAAGCAAGAGCTATTTCTTTTTGTTCCACAAGCATAATAATTTAAAATTAAAATAACATTCAAATCAATTTATGCTCTGAAACAAGGACTAAGTACAAAATGTAATAAAAAAACAAGAGTCGTAATGAGTAGAGATTATAAATTTGTCTCTTTATTTTACATGTACTGTCTGGCCTCGTAAATCGTTTTGTAGTGGGGGAACCTCCGCTCGCAAGTTGCACGGTTTCTATTTTGCGTTTCTCGAATTCAGTTACTTTATCGCGTTGAGTGGGGCGTCTCATTCTCGCGAGCATTTTTAATTTATATTATTGTAGTTATAGTTAATTTAAATTTTATAAGACAACCGGACCACTCGTATGTAGTTAGTGATAAGTAGAAAGTGAGAAAATTATAATCTAAGATTTAAAGGTGAAGGAATGATATGACCGTGCAGTGAATTTTTTCAGTTTATACAAACATCTGGATTGACGTGATATTTTGTGGTAAATCGGACGACGAAAAGGCTGTGATTTTTATAATAAAAAGAAATAAAACCGTGTGATAAAACTAAATATTTGACATCTTAACGAAGTGAACATAGCCGCAAGTATTATTTGTGTCGGTGGAATTACGCAGGCATTTCATAGTTCGCGTGTACATTACAGTTATATTGCCATTCAATTTAGTCGGGTAATAGCCCGCAGCCGCGCCATCTGCACTGAGTCGTCCGAAGTGAACATCGCGCACGTCACAGTACGAGTTTGAGTATGCTCGCGAAATTTTACGTGTCGTGTTTACTTTCGCTGGAGTAACGTTCCGATTAGTTTGAAAAATAATTGACTTGGAAATTTGTAACTGTACACGCATAAAACTAGTGACAGATGTGTAAAAAGTGAAAGTTGTCGTGTGACCTTTGGGGGTGCGTGAGAGTCTACATGGTTTTGGGGGGTTAGACCATGGCGACCGCCGAAATGAGCCTGCCTGACAAGAAACCGGAACACGAGTCGGGATATTACGAAGGCAGCGATCAGGAGGGTAGCATGGAGTGCGGTTGCCCCTCTCCAGTAAGCTCTAGGAACTCCTCGCACTCTACAAAGCTGAAGCGTCGTCACAGCGCCCACAAGCACAAGAAGGCTCCCCAGAAGAAGCTTCGTAACGAGCATGTGAATGGTTGCATGGGTAATGGTCATGCTGGCAACAGCGTAGAAATAGTGGACTGTTCCAGTCTGCCATCAGGAAAGGATGTAAATAATGCTGTGGAAACCATCCCTGAGGCTGGTCCGAGCAGCAAACGAAGCAGTTCTGTGGAACTAATCGGTGGAACTGTCCCCGCCCCTGCTAGAGACTCTGTGGATTGGAACTTGGTATATGCCAGTAAAATAAGGAAAAGAAGTAAAGGTCAGTAAATTTATTAATAGTTAATAATCTTAAATTATGTACTCTACAACTGTTTATTATATTCTTTTAAATTATAATTATGTTTAAAAAAAATGACTTATTTTTATTAAGGGATAAAAAGTAATTAAAGTGCACACACTAATCAAGTTAATGACCCTTAACTAATTAAAAGTGTAATATAAAATTACAATGAAAGTCAGGAATTGACTTTTTTGAAGAAACCATGTTGTTTTAATTTACTTTACAGAATTGCTAATGTACTAAATATTCAATAATTAAAATTATGTAATTCTGGGTATTTTAAGTATTTATTACATGTGAAAAAATGTGGCCTGTCCTGGAAAGCCAGGTTTGTTTGCTAAAGGCATGGGTGGACATTTTTTTAATTTATGCAAAATAAAATAAAATATAACCTATGTTATTCAGAAATAATGTATTCATGCTTAAAGAATTTTTGAAATTAATCTAGAAGTTTTTCATGTTAATCCATCATGAATAAACCAAAATTTAAATGTCTCGTTCTCCTTTCTTGTTCTTTTCTAAATATTAAGGACAAATACTGGAAAGAAAACTAGTTTCATTTTTAGGAAAATTTAAAAATTTGACTGCAATGCATCTTTTAAGTTACATAATACAAATTTAACATTTTAAGATGCTCTGCAATAAACACTAGGTCAATTCTAAGTCATGCCAAAAAAATCATTACTAACTTTTTTAGCAGGAGAATGTGAAAAAGATCTTTTAAATATATTTTCATCTTTGATGAAATGAAATTTTGAGGGAAAGTAGTTGATTCTCATGGGCTTGTTATAGATCCTTTTTTTTTATAAATGTCTGTCAGACCAAGACTATCTACTTTACCATCTTAATTTTCTAGAATAGAGGCAAAAAACATAAATTCCAGGTAAATTACTGTCAAATAAATGTTTGTGACATTTTTTTTTAATCTCTGGGTTATCTTTGAGTTAAAAGAAAATGCTAATAATAATGTAGTTCTGTTATGAAGTTATTGAGTAAATATGTTAATTGAATATATCCCACATAAACCAGAAACATTTCCTGAATAATAGGTAGCCTATGTGGTCTTCCAGACTGTGTTCTGTATCCATGTAAGATTCATGCAGCCATTCTGGAACATTCACATTAATAATATTATAGTGTTCATCTCTACCTATGAAACTAGTTAATTTAATATATTAATTTGTTCGAGGATAATGTGAAATGTGTGAGACAAGAAACTTTGACGTAGCTCATAAATATGTCATCCTTATTTTGGACTTTTATTCTTAGGAACATATCAATTTCATAGTTAGTTATGACTTAACTCAGATTTATATCTTGCTTAGTCTTTTTCTTACTTCCTTCCAATGGTTGTAAATAATTTTATAGTACTAAATTCTGATTTAATTTAATTCAATCCATTAGGATTCTTAAATTCTTTATTCTTGAATTTTTTTGTTAAGACAAAAAAATAAGTTATTACTTAAAAAGATTTTTTTACGTAAACCTTTAAGACATAATATGATTGATTTAAATAACTTCACTTGCTCAAAGTAATCAATACGATTCACATTTCACACCCCTCTTTTTTTATTTCGCACCCCGTGTTAGAATCCCGACCCCATTTAGAGTAACCAGCCTTTATGTAAGTCTTCAAAGTTGTATACAGTGAATTGTATATTCCATTTAATAGTTTCTTTATAAGTAATATGAAAGGAATTATTTGTGATATAGGTATCTGTATTAAAATTAAAGATAATAAATTTTAAGAGAAATCTTAATCTTACAATTAAAACAATCAAGCAGTTTATAGTATCCCATTATTTTTTGTTGGCTATGCTTACAAAAATAAGATAATGAAGAGAAAAATTGTGATTGTTTTGCATTGAATAGGCTCCGAAAATTATTGACTGATTTAAAAAATCTTTTTACTGTTAGGAAGCTACATTGGGTGGCGTAGGCTAATTTTCATTACTAGATTTCTTTTTTATTAATTCTATATGAACAAAGTCCCGGTCAACTGCTAATCTTTATAATGAACATACAACAGATGAGTTAGTTCACAGTATACAGGGATTTCCCTATTGCTTATTTTAAGTATGTCAGATTTACATACTAATATCCAATGTTACAATATTGTCATCTCTCTAATTCTGTTTAAAAAAAATATATATAAGATGTTTTGTCAGTCTGAATGTTTGTGAGATTTTTTTCCAAATCTCTGGATTACGGGAGTCAAAAACAAGCAATATCAAAATCTTGTAACTTAATAAATGAAGTTACAAGATAATTAATTATCTTTAACGTTAATTCAAGTTTAAAATATCATGTTTCCGTATAGATGATTTGATGGTGCAAACCCATGGTAAAATCAATTTTGTCGCATGTTTCGGTCGGTTAGAGGTAATGTATTGATGGCATGATGTCCGAAGCCCCAGGGTAACCGCGATAAAGCACCCTAGTCTTATCACGGTATTGGTGGTATACTGTTTGACTGATAATGATAGTATAAATATACAAAAAACTGTAAGTATGTTTGTAGAATCATATTTGTAGATGTTCACTTAAGGTGTTTTAATACTAGGTTATTACTACTATTTTTTTTATTTGCAAATATAAAATTTGCGTAAACTACAGTCTAAAAGACTTTAAAAAATAATATTTAATCCATAGGTCAAAATTTAACTGAAATTCTAGACTAAATAAAAGGAATCTTGTAATATTAATTGTCGCTCGCGACTCTTTCAACGTGGAATTAAAATAAAAACTTAATAGCCTATGTGTTCTTCCAGGCTATGTTCTACATCTGTGCCAAATTTCATCAAGATCCGTTTAGCTGTTCCAGAGATGCCTTGTAACAAACATCCTTCCAAACACATTTATAATATTAGTAAGATTTAATGTTATATCAGAATTATAGGAATTCAAATGAATAACTTTAATAGCAATGTAATTATTACTAAATGGGTACATAAGAATGTGTGACCTTTTCACATAGATGTTAATTATTTTTAGAAGGTCAAAAGTACATACTATTTTGGTACCAAATGTTATTCTAATTTTCTTTATACAACTAAACAATAGTATAATTATTTTTTTTAATTAAATTAGTTTTTTGAGTGTCTTTAAGTATATAAATGTAACACTGAGCTCCGTTCTTCTGTACCATACATTAAAAAAAACATTTAATTAAATTACTAAGAAAAAGAAAATATTTATAACAAGTGTTGCTATACCGACCGGATAAGTTCCTCGCTCAGTTTTGTATGCCGAGTGTTCCTCACTGGACCATTCAGAGCTGATCTTCTGTGAAAACCTTAAGGATTGTATGGATTTATGTTTTTTATTTTTACAATATGATATACCTTACAAATAAACAAAAAAGTGATGAACAATTTTTGCAGTTGAAAAGAGTGAACACATTCAGTGAAATTAAAAAATCAATGGATATTTTTATCTAATAAATCCTAAAACACTTAACAAATTGTGATAAATCTTTGGCAGTATGTCCTGAACATGCCAGAGCAGGTTTTTGTTCTAAAAAATACATTTTTTTAATTTTTTGTGTGTATAATTAGTCTAAATTGCAGTATGGTTGTTAAGGGGTACAATTTAAAAGTTTGTCTGATCGTCAGATGCTATACAGTGAAGCCAGGTCAAAACTAGATTTACTGCATTTTGTCTAAATCTAAATACTTAGGTTTATCGCACATCATTAATCCATTATGTTATTTTAAGATGTTAAAATACATTGGTTTGACAATTTAACAAACATAAATGTTCATTTGAATTAATATTACTTCTTGCTATCCTACTAATAGATGCGAAAGTTTAGGTGGATGGATGTTTGTTACAAGGTATCTCCGGAACGGTTTAAAGGATTTTGATGAAATTTGGCATAGATGTAGAACACAGTCTGGAAGAAGACATAGGCTACTTATTAAGTTTTTTTAATTTCGATTGGACCGAATCGCGGGCGTTATGTCGTGTTTGCAGTTATGCGTCCGTTAATTTCTCCGTTTCGATTAGTTTACTTAAGCTGTGTTTTTTTGGGTTTATTATTATTATAAATTAATAAACTCTTGTAATAAAAACATTGATAACAAAGTAGTTAACACAATATTTAACACCATCGTGTTAATAATCTAATGATATTTGCCACGCGACTATCGTATGCTCAAATACTTCCGCATAGTAATTATTGTTTCATATTTAAATTAACCTTTGTACTAATTTTTTTTGACAGCAGTTTACCTAAAGTTAACTAGTTTTTATTCCATTTAATATAAAAATACAGAGTGTGTACCTAACCTATACATTTACCCTTTTTTTTGTTTGGTGGGGGGGATCTTCAAATGATGCCCTGCTTTCTAGAGGAAAGACAGGGTTATATGACACTTGACCCACTAATCGTGGGCTTCCGAACCCAAAATCCAGATTCAGACATTCGAACCCTGACAACGAGGAAAACCAACCTCGTTATATCCTTGACCATTAGGCTATTGACACTTCAATACGATTTAGAATAAGCTATTCGGTAATTAACCGATATTATGTTTTAATATGTAAAAATTAAAAAAAAAAGTTTAGGTCCTAAATTGAAAAGAATTGGCAAATAAAATAATCTTTCATAATTCAAATATTTGTATTAAACATATCGCTATCCCTTTTCCTCCAAAGAGAATAAAAGGGATGGCAGTATATTTCTAAGCATATCAACGCTGGAAACTCTACGTTAAGATTTTGTATCAGCAAACTGATATATACATATATCATGATATCTAATATAATCTGTAGTTTAAGTAATCGTTCCGACATAAAACGACTTCCTCAAACCTATAATGTTTATGATAATAAATTAACATTACAAATAAATAATATAAAATGTTTTATGTGTAGTTGTAATTGTGTTTTCACTACCGTAAAACTTGTAGCAAAACTAGAACGAAATAGAATAACAATTATGTTTCTACGAGTACTCTGATGTTGGTAACAGTCGGAGAAATTGATTCGTATATTTAATAAAGAAATGTTTTGTCATAGTGGTCAATTTCTATACCGTTTAACCTACGAATTTATTTCATAACTAGCTATCGCCTGCGAAATGTAATTAGTGTCCTATGTGTTCTTCTAGACTATGTTCTACATCTATGTCAAATTTCAGCAGGATATGTTTAGCTGCTCTAGAGATACCTACAAACAAACATCCATCCATGCAAACAATCGCATTTATAAGATTACTAATATTAGTAAGAAGTAAGATGTCTTCGATTATTATCATTTACTTATAGAAGTTATGTTTTATCTATCTGTCTTTGATTACTAAAATACCTTAAGAGGCCTGAAGTACACTTAAATCAATTCTTCTCATGAACTATGTTTAACCCTTAAATGGACTTTCTTTGATAAATTTTTTTAGCGATTTTTCTAGCAATAGTTTAATCTTAAGAGAAATTAAATATTATATGTTTACAGGTATTTTAAAGAAATATAGATTTTTGTATGAAAGTTAAGATGACTAATAATATTTATTTTGTTTCAGTCAATCTGAACGGCGCATCAAAAGTGGACATATCACATTTTGATTTACTCAAAGTTCTCGGTACTGGAGGTGAGTGCATTTTTAATTATATTTCTCCTTATTTTTAGACATTATTAGTTGGAATTATTAAGCGCGTTTTCGTTACCCAATCAAGTATCAGAATTATTAGTGAGGGGACATAAACGTTGACATTTTAATAAGGCTAGTGTTGCGCCGATACACCGGCAGTGTCGGATTTTCTTCCTAATATACAATCTTATATGGATGTTATCAGACGACAATCTAACCACAGAACTCTGCTGCACTAATTAGTATAAATACGTATTCATCCAATGTAAATCTTCGAAATCAGGCGATTTTAGTTAAGACTTACTCTATGTTATAAAGGTCCGTACACACCACCTCGACATTTCTATTTGTCATCGCCAAAGAAAGTCGGTCGTAATCTGTTTGTCAAGATCGTAGTGAGATAATAACGAACATTGTTATTTTGCGTCTACTCTAAGTTAGAGGTGACTAGGCCATAGTCAACCACGCTGCCCAGTGCGGTTTGACTTCACATATATCTTTGAATTTCTTCTCAGATATGTGCAACACGATGTTTTCCTTCACCGTAAGAACGTCGGATAAATGTACAAAACACATTGGTACATGACAGATTACATGTCACGTCCTCAACCCCTGAGCCATCGATGTTCTAATAAAGTGTATGCCCACCTTTAAGTACGTGTACATGAATACAACTGTTGCAGGTATTTAGTTTACGCAATATTGTATTGTTTGTTTTGTATTGGATATGTTATTGGCATATTGTGACATGCCATTCACAATATATCTGATTAAATGTAACATGTTTCAGACCGTTGTTAACTAATTTGTATAGTGTAGTTTTGTTATTGACACTACAAATTCGTGGTTGAACTGAAACGTAAATACGACATTTTTTAATATGACATACAGACAGTCCAGTATTAATTTCATTATGAGATTTTAAATGGAAACTGTTTAAATTCAGCACCGAATTAAAACTTATTGTCATCTTTATTGATAGGTATGAAAGTATGTCTTTATGCACGTGGTTGATATTTGTTTTAATTTTGCAAGATGGCGAATAAACAATGTATTAGGGTAAATTAAACAGTTTTTCACAACAGTCAAACACTACGTAATATAGTGGTTATATATCTTTAGTGCCTTGTAAAGTAAAGAGAGGCAATTAGAAGAATTAATCTTAACATCAATAGAGAAAAGGATCTCTTAAGAAATCTTATTCGTTGTATGCCGTTTCGCAAAACCCACTCGAGTTCCGAAATACATACGCTCGTCACGAAGACGAAATAAAGACAATGCATTCGCGACAATAAAAAGCGACCGCTATGCATGTGTAACAATGCGGTGCACGATGCATTGCCGGCCGTGTGGTAAGGGCGATGACCTGGGAACACGTGCTTAGGATGTCCGGGATAGGGGTAGCGAATTTAAAAGATACTTTATTAATTTTGTATCAAAGGACCGCACTATCAAATAAACATGTAATTAGAGAAAATTGTATCATATATTGAGTAATTAACCGTGGGTTTCTGATACCAAAATGTTCGTATAACAGAGACAAAACAGAGATAACAATTTAAAACGTAGATTTTGGTTTTGGAAACCCACTAAGTTAAATATTTCTGTGAGAGTTTTACAGTCATCCTCAAAGTAGCTTAATGGTTGGTTTAGCAATCTCTAATTGTAGAATTTAATACTAAATGTGTACTAAGGGGTACTCAAAGTGTGGTCTGAAACATCGTGGAATTGGTGGTCGATTTAGAAGAAAATCTGTTGCGCTAATATTCTACAACTAAGTAATATAGTTTATTACTCGTTTTAATATATTGTTACGGTTAGTTCATCCGCCATATTTTTTAATCACCACCTCGTTTATTTCCGCACTGTTCCGTTCGACCAAACACGACCGTTAACTCTGAAGTTTAATTGTTGCATGTTAAATCCCTCTAGGGTCCCATGGCAACTTAGGTAACCCTCATTTCCTTTATTTTTATGAATATTTCCCCATTCCTCAAGTTTTGGACAGATTTTAATGACATTGGTAGAAATCTTCTAAAGACGCCAGAGAATTTTATATTTTTTTTTGTTTTATACTATGACATTTGATTTTATGATTGATAATTTTTTTAACCTTTTATATTTTTAGACTTTGGAATAGCAATGTTTAAATGTTCATCTAGTATGTTATAAAATACTAGTTTCCAGTAATATTTATTACCTTTTCATATTGTCTTAAGAAAAAAACACTTGAGAAGACGTACAAAATCTTGCTAATTTCAAAACGTCTCGGATAAAATTAACTCCGCAATACCCTTAGAACAATCAACCGACGTCGAGCTTTAGTCCAAGTCACGTGACATTCGTAGTAAACATAACTCTGTGGGTTTGTGTTTGGTTTTAGCACGTGTATGTATGGTATGTCACGTGCTAGGACTTGTGTTAGGTTTATAGGTATATAACAGTTGTTTAGATGTCATAGTAGGGAATAGCGGTAGATAGGACACGAGGAGTTGCGTTGCAAATTGATATTGACATTAAGATTGATATACAGGATGTACAATTTCTCGCAGATAGTATTACGAATGTTTTATAGTGTATTTATTTTTTTAATCATTTCATTTATCAATTAATTAAAATCATCGGTCAAACAGTCTATCTCATATAAAATCGATATCAATTTAAAAATTCTAAAACAACACACTATCCACACAACTTATAAAACCATACCTTCGCACTAATAGTCGCTTCATAGCCACTAAGTAACAATTTAACGTCTCTTAGTAGTAGTTAAACATGTAATTAATGTAGAGAAAGCCTTCGATATCCGCTACCGACCGTCAGATGTAAACGTGACTGCTTACTAACACGTGGGGATGCTGTTTACGTACTTTGCACGATGGAGGGGCGTATGGTGAGGAGGGGAGCGGGTGAGGGGCATTGTGGAGTCACGTGACCAACATCGGCCCAAATAGATGTGGTTTTAGTATTGTTTCACTCTATTGATGTATGATTATTCAACTTACGATAAGAACTGTGTGTGTCCACAGTACCTTTACAAAACATGTTTTTAGTGTCGTTCTCTTTGAGAAACAGAGTTTTATGTGTTTAATTTTTAAACGTACTATATATGAAGCACTTATACAGTCTAGTTTTGGTTAGTAAGAAACGGATAAGCGGGAGTCTTGTTCGGTCCCAAAGGAAGACCTTCATAAGCGAGAAACTTGGATTAGAGAGATAATTATATAAGCGAGAACAATATTTCAGTCCCTTCGACTCTGTTTTAGCCAGGTTTGTCTAAGAATTGTTATACGTATGTAAAAAGTCAGATAAAATTGACCCGTTTTGTTGAATAGTAAGATTTCATATGTATAGAGCATAATATCTTATCGTACGTATAATAACGTGACCGAAGCAATAAGAGGCAGGACTAATTATTAGTAACGTATTATATGACGTACGTTAAAAACCTTCCGTCATTTATCGTCACAATGACGGACGAAGGAGTATTATATGAATTTGTAACGCATAGGTTTACGTTAGGTACTTGTTTGGATATGTTTTGCGTATTTATGACGGATTTAATTCTTCCGCTACTATGTTATTTTAGTTATATACTTTATGACGCACATAAGAGGTGAATGTAGTTGATATATAAGTAATTGTGTGTGTTTATGTATGTATGGCAATTAAATTGTAACATCCTGTAGTATTAACGGCTGAACTGATTTTGTCGAATGTGTTATTCGATTCGTATTTTTTCTTTAGTTTTTAAATTAATAAATAGTGTTATTTAGATAATAATTTTTGCCTTGTTTTTTCTTTTTTGTTTAAACATGTCTTTTTCATGTGTAATTATTACATATTCAATTCTTTCTTTATATTTGTTATTATTATAACGCACGTCAATACCCTGTTTGACATTTTTGTCTTTCAAAATGTTACTTTCAAGGTCACTATTTATAAATTTATGGTTAATTACATAAATCGGTGGATTCTACGTAGACTATCGTAAGCTACAATATAGCGATTTATCCCATGTTTTTTTTATGGATACATACAAATTTTTGTGTAATAACTGTAGATTTTGATGTCTACTGTATGTTTATGTTTTATTAATCGTAATTATTCGTATTAATGTTGAAAGTTTCGTCTTGCAAAATTTGCCTTTTTTGACATATGACAGTTTACGTAGGAGCCATCGATTGTAGAATAATCGAGTAGTTTAAATTGCTTATTTCTAGTTATATCAATGTGTTTTTATTTAAATTATTTATTTAATTACAAGTTTCTCTTAGTACTAACATAACACGACTAGTGCTTTGCTATTAAAAAGCGCAGGCGCTGTATAATTTTGATGCGCAGACGCATAAAAATTTGACGTATGACAGTTGTCGTAATGGCGACCGAGACGAATGTTCGTCGAACAATGATCTGTCGTACAATATACCCTTGTCAGTTTGCACTGACTATAGAAAGTGAATTCGGTGTTAGTCTACGTTCGTGCACTTGAAATATTTGTTTATTCAGTTACGTCTTGTTTTGTATAGATTTCGTTCTACGCGACAATGTAATGCAAATTGTTGTTTGTTTCTTGAGCAAATGTTGTTCAGTTTTCAATGTCGTATAAAATGTTTTCTGCCAGTATTTAGTCTTCGTGATATTGCAATTATTTAATTCTTGATTGTTTAAAGTTTCGTATGATTTTTTTTATTCAATTCATTTATTTGAACTTCGAACGTGACTCGATATCTTGATTACAGTTATAAAGGTTTACTTTCTATATGACGTCATGGTTTATTTACCGTTGTTACGACGCTATTTCGAAGGTTCAAAAATTGCGAGCGCAACGCTCTATGAAGGTTACTGAAGGAACATCAGATACGAGTTCATTGTCCTTACAAGTAATGACATATTGATAGTGACATTGAAGCTTTGATTTGATGCTTTGTTGAATAAGAACGCAGAAAATGATTAGTATTATCAAAGATAATTTTTTAATATGAATTTTCAAGTAGTTG